TTTCAGCTTGATTTTTCTTGCATTGGTGTTCTCTAAGCACTGAATATGTATTAAAGCTGAAAAAGAAACAATATCACAGTACCTTTTAAAATTAAACATTTTATTTCCATTTTGTTTATTATCCTATAAAATACCAAACTAGAACAATCTTATAGCATCAGTTTAAAGCTATAAAGGCACAGAGATCAGTCAGCCCAAAGAGGTGCACACTGGAAGCCTGCTCCTTATAAAGGGAAGTATTTTGAGTGGACATCTCCACTGATCTCCCTCATCCACTAGCCTAAAAGCTAGTCATGGACTCTAGGGAAGGCCCTGCAATCCCCGCGGGATATCTATCCTAAAGAACCATCCTCCCACCCACGTCCCAATTTTTGGCATGTGTTCTCATCAGAAAGTAGCACCTCTTGTAAACTGGAGAAAATCCGTAAGAATACAAGTAGCCACATACACACAGCAACACCACTCTATTGACAAACATACTATTCTCTTCTAATCACCTTAACTTCTGGCCCCCATAGTGTAAAACTGGTGACATGGCCATATTAAGGCCATCTTCATCTCTACTCCCATTTTGCAAACAGGAGCACGTGGGAGGACGTGGGAGGAAGCATGACCTTAGGTTGGTTAAGGTTGCTAAGGTCGAGGAATGGTGAAATGCAGCTGGCCACCTCAATCGTCTGTTTTAATGCACAAGAGTCAAGCACATGCTTAAATTTACCAATCAGACAACGGAGACTTCTATTCGAGTACATCTTTATGTTTTAGTGATTCACAGCTCTGTAACAAAACAGAACCGCAGCTTGAGGGACTGACAAGAGTCCGAATCTCCCCACCTGCAGGGGCAGTGGCCTCACCCTGTTGCAGCTAACCACAGTTCCACTTCCAGCTGGAAATCACTGAATGAGCAGACAATATAGAAGGGCTAATTCGGCAGGATGACGATTGTCCAGACTCAGCCTGGAGTTTGGCTCCAGAAATCAGGATTTGCCATTGATGAATGGTAGGTAGGTCGGCCATTCATCATCCCACCCTCTATTGCCTCCTGAATGAAAATACTCTTTCAAAGACAAATTTTCAAAGACAGGCAGTTAGCTGGTCCGAAGGTAGTGAGTTATCTCAAAGTTACAGATGGAAGTCCTTGTTCTGCTCTTCCTCCCTTCTTACTACTGCACTTGACTACTCTTAAAAACAAAAACAGACAAAAACAACAACAAACAATTGAGAAATAATATGAGACTTCTACTTAACTAACCTCCTGCCTTCAGATCTAATATTCTTGTACCCTGCAATGGCCAAAGTGACCAAAAGGGCCGTGTCTCAAAGTTAAACCTGGCAAATAACTGATCGAGTCATTTCCCCCCAGAATTTACATATAAAGATTGTAAAAGATTGACTAGAAGACTCCCTCCATCTGTCACAGAACCAAGATTTCTGCCTCAGTGCATCTAAATGTCAAGCTTGAATAATCAAAAGCTTGTTTAACTCTCCATTTGACCTAATA